GGAACATTTCACTCATTCACCCACTTCATCCTCCCATCACCATGGTGATCTGGTAGCAGTATTGTTTCCAGTTCAGAAGAGGAGAAACTAAAGCCTCTAGAGGCAGGGGGTCTCTTCCCTCAGGGAGCCACAGCCTAGAAATGTAGGTAGGTGGCTATCAAAATGTGTGTCCATTCATTCAACATCTGCATTTCAAGTCTCCGCCAGGCCACAGAGTGTGCTCTTATCCTTGAAGGAAAGGAGCTTAGTGAATGAAGCAGAGAAAAATCCTTGCTCCTGGGGAACAGAAACTGCTCCCTACAGTGGCCTGTGGGTCATAGGGGTGAGGAGAGTGAGGCAATAATGAGGCTGGATGCTGTGTTAAAGGTTTCCTTCTCCAGGTTGATTACCCTCCCTGTTGCAAATCTAAGACATCAATACTTCCTGACTCACAGCACAAAGCTAGTCCCTGAAAGGCTTGGCTTTCTTTCAACTCATTTGTACACAAATGGTGACATCAGTTTTACTTTCTGGTTTCTATTTCTCTTCTGTGGGGTCAGCTGCAGAGAAACAGGAAAGGAAATCAGCTGCTGGTGATATATAAAGGTTTGTAGCTCTTCCTTAGGAGTCAGAGGACGAGATTGTCTGCAGCTGCCTGCAGCCGCTCTGAGCCCTTCAACACAGCTGAGAGGCACAGCAATTATGAGGTATGCCCTCCCTTTCTCTGCTGGTGAGGAGAATGCAGTCAGACTTGATGACAGATGCCAATCCTAAGCAGCCAAGGTCCCAAGAGAGGCCAGTCCTGTTTTTACTTTTCACATCTCTGTCTCTACAGCTATCATTATGTCATAGAGATGCCCCGTGGCTTCCTCCAGATCTGCTTATCTACCTGACATCAGAGAGGGTTGTTTGATTGTGCTTGTGAATTCTCTCTCTCTCCCTCCCTCCCTCTCTCTGCCCCCCCCATTGCAAAACTAAATTGAGAGTATCTAATATGAATATTATATAACAGTGTTCTTTTTTTTTTTTATTTCTTTATTGTTAAAGATGTACTTAGACTACTAACACTGTTTCCCCCTCTTCTGAATTTTACTTATAATTGCTGGATTAATCTCAGAAAGCAGAAGGGTTGCGAACTAAACAGAGCATAGGAAGGAAGGAGCTCCCCTCAGTCATTGCCTCTCAGCTCTGTCTCCTGTCTGGTAGCACAGAGGTTCAGTACCATCAAACATGACCCTTGTCACTCTATGTGGCTTTCTAGCTATCAATTGTTCAAGTCAGAAACTGTAGTATTTCAATACATAGCTGGTTTACAGACAGCATGGAAAAAGTAAGTGAGAATACACAACATTCCAGAGGCTTCTCTGCTGGGTTAGTTTGTTTCCTGCTTATTTCTTTTTCTGTCTCTGGGTAAGACTGAAGGGAATCTTAAAAGATGAAAAAAAACTTTAAGAGTCACAATGGTACCCTGAGGGGGAAAAGGAGCTAAATGCCTATAAGCCTCTCCTGCAGCCACACATCCTATCCTTGGTATAAACTATAAATCTGAGAGAATAAAATTCAAAGGGAAATTAAACAAGAATGTGAAAGTATTAGTAAGCTATCAAAATGAACCATCACCAATGTAAGAAGAAGAAACAGGGGAAGGGCATGGAGACTACATTTCATTCTGAAATAAAGGTTTGAGGCATTGCTAGCATATATAATACAATTAATAGATGAAATATGCCAATGATGGTAAAATGTGTGAAATTCAAGAATGATTGGAAATAAGATATAAGTAGTTCGAATGAGCAGATGCCCAAAGGGACTTTAATCTTATTACAGATTATCCGTGTTTATTGCAAACTAAGATGTTTTTTTCCTTCATGAAACAAGGAAATGGAATCAACCTACGTGTCCAACAATGATAAATGAATAATAAAGATGTGGTACATGTAATGAAATTTTATTCTGCCATTTAAAAAATAATTAAGGACTAGCCTCTCGTAGGGATGGGCTACCTAACTGGTTACTTAGTGTTCAGCCCCTAAACACAAACACACAAACAGCAAAAGATGGACTCAGCAGATTGTATTTGTAGATTTTTTTGCATATGTATCCAAAAATATGCAAAATGTTTAAAGAAAAAGAGGCTATTAATTTGAGAGTGGAGAGCATGGGAGCAGTTTGAGGGAGGAGACAAATGAAACTGGAGGAAAAGCAGAGAAAGAGGGAGGTGACACCGTTATATTTTAATTATAATGTGTTTTTAAAGAACAAAATGAAAGTATACAATCCGAAGGAAAATGGATAGAACTAGAAAATATTAAGTAAGAAAATCCAGACTCAGAATGGCGAACACTGCTTGTTCTAATTTGTGAATCTTAGCTTTACATGTGTGTAATTATATGAATGTGTGTAGCTGTCAGGGAACTAGAAATGGAATCCGCATCAGAAGAAAACAGAAAAGAGACATTAAAAGAGAAGAGATCAGAGGGGAGGGAGGGTACTAGAGCACCTGTGATATTAAAGAGAGGGGACAGGGAGAGGCACCAGGGCACATGTGATATAAAAGAGAAGGCGGAGGGAGGTGCCAGGGCACATGTGATATAAAAGAGAGGAGACGGTGGGAGGGTACCAGAGCACATGTCATATAAAAAAGAGGGGGAAGGAGGAGGGCACCAGAGCACATGTGATATAAAAGAGCGGGGCAGGGGGAGGGAGGCGCCAGGGTACGTGTGACATAAAGTGAAAGTGGGAACACTGCACATGAGAAAGGAATGAGGGCAACAAAACAGAGAAAGAAGAGGGCAGGGGAAAAGGCACCCAATGCAAAGTACAAGATGCAAAAAAAAAAAAAAAAGAATTCAAAACAAAGATAGTAACTACCTTTTAATAATAAATACTTTACAGAGTAATCCAACAGCAGAAGAGAGCAAAAATGTTTAAATAAAAGACACAACTAATGTGGTCAAATTTCAAGATGCTAGACTAAACAAAGAAAGCACATTAAAAATATATTAAAAATTGAACTGGGGATGGAAAGGCAGATTGGCAATTACAAAAAAATACTGTCTAGTTCCATTTTATGATGTCATTGTTTTTAACACTTGAGTAATACTCCATTGTGTTAATGTACCACATTTTCTTTATCCATTCTTCAGTTGAGGGGTATCTAGGTTGTTTCCAGGCTCTGGCTATTACAAATAATGTTGCTATGAACTTTGTTGAGCAAGTATCCTTGTGGCATGATTGAGTATCCTATGCCCAGAAGTGGTATTACTGAGTCTTAAGGTAGACTGATTCCAATTTTCTGAGAAACTGGCATACTGATTTTCAAAGTAGCTGTACAAGTTTACACTCCCACCAGCAATAGTAGAGTGTTCCTCTCACTCCAAATCCTTTCGAACATAAGCTGTCCTCAGTATTTTTGATCTTAGCCATTCTGATAGGTATAAGACAGTATCTCAGAATCATTTTGATTTGTATTTCCCTGATGGCTAAAGATGTTGTGCAATATTTTTCTGCCATTTGAGATTCTTCTGCTGAGAATTCTGTTCAGCTTTGTACCCCATTGTTATAAAGAGAGCCACGTGTTTGTTCCCGACTGCTCAGCCCTGAAATAATCACACAGAAGGTGTATTATTTAAATCACTGCTTGGCCCATTAGCTCTAATTTCTTATTGACTAACTCTTACATATTAATTCAACCCATTTCTATTAATCTATGTTTTGCCACGAGACTGTGGCTTGCCAGATTAAGTTCCGGCATCTATCTCTGGTAGGACTCCGTGGCTTCTCTTTGACTCTACCTCCTTTCTCCCAGCATTCAGTTTAGTTTTCCCCACCTCACTCTGTTCTACCCTATCAGGCCAAGCCAGTTTCTTTATTCATTAGCCAATAAAAGCAACACATATACAGAAGGGCTTCCTATATCACCCTGTTTTTTAAATTGAATTATTTTCTATTTTGATATCTAGTTTCTTGAGTTCTTTTTGTAGTTTGGAGATCAGCCCTCAGATGTGGAGTTGATGAAGATCTTTTCCCATTCTATGGGCTGTTGTACTGTCTTATTTAACATGTCTTTTGCCTTATAGAAGACTTTCAGTTTTAGTAAGTCCTATTTATTGACTTTTGCTCTCTGTGTCTGTGCTACTGATGTTTTGTTTAGGGAGTAGTCTCCTGTGTCAATGAGTTCAAGGCTACTTCCCACTTCTATCAGGTTCAATGTAACTGGATTTTTGTTGAGGTTCTTGATCCATTTGGACTTCAGTTTTGTCCATGGCAATAGATATGGATGTATTTGCAATCTAATATATATTGACATCCAATTAGACCAGCACCATTTGTTAAAGATGCTTTCCTTTTTCCATTGTACTATATTTACTTCTTTGTCAGAAATCAGGTGCTCGTAAGTATGTAGATTAATGTCAGGGTCTTTGATTCAATTCCATTATTCCACATGTCTGCTTTTATGCCAATACCAAGCTATTTTTATTACTATAGCTCTATAGTAGAGTTTGAAGTCAGGGATGGTGATGCCTCTGGACGAACCATTCTTGTACAGGATTGTCGAAACTACTCTGGGTTTTCCGTTTTTCCATATGAAGTTGAGTATTGTTCTTTCAAGGTCTGTGAAGAATTGTGGTGGGATTTTGTAAGAAGAAATTCAGTTACTATCTCTAAACACAAAGCTCCAGGAATAACACTGAAGCTGTACTGCGGTTCACAGACCCTCCAACACAAAGGCAGGAGCTAGCTGATAGAAACAGTCTTTCTAGGAAACCCAAACGCCATCTAGGACTGACTCACTTCCTTCTGTCAGTTTTTCTGCCTAAAATGAGCAAACTCTTACTTCCTTATGCAGTAATTCAGACATATGCCAAATATTGAAATAAAGGAAAGGGAAGCATGTGCCTTGGTTAGGTTTGGATGAACTCTCTTTAGAAGGAAAGGAATATTTGCTGAGATCCCACTCCTTGACAGGTGAACGTGTGCTGTCTCCCAAATGACTGTTTCTTTTTTTTTCTGTCCCACAGCACAACTATAGAGAAATCCTTGGAGAGCAGGCTCCAGCAGCTAAAATGCCATTTCACCTGGAACTTGATAACAGGAGATGAGTCCTTGGATGAGTTTGAGGACAGGGTGTTTAACAAGGATGAGTTTCAGAACAGTGAGTGTAAAGCCACGATGTGCAACATCCAGGCCTATGTCAACCACCTCAGAGGCCAAAACAAGGCAGCGCTGAAGTGTTTAGAGGATGCTGAATGTTTCATTCAGCAACAGTATCCTGACCAAGCAGAAATCAGAAGTCTGGTCACCTGGGGAAACTATGCTTGGGTTTATTATCACATGGGCCAATTCTCAAAAGCACAGGCTTATCTTGACAAGGTGAGAGGGGTCTGTGAGAAGTTTTCCAGTCCCTATAGGATCGAGAGTCCTGAGCTTGACTGTGAGGAAGGGTGGGCCCGTTTAAAGTGCACCCAGAACCAAAATGAGAGAGTGAAGGTGTGTTTTGAGAAGGCTCTGGAAAAGGACCCAAAGAACCCAGAATTCACCTCTGGATGGGCCATTGCATGCTACCGTCTGGACTACTGGCCAGCACGGCAGGACTCCATTGACTCTCTGAAGGGAGCCCTTAGACTTTCTCCCAACAACTCTTATCTTAAAGTCCTCTTGGCACTGAAGCTTGAGATGGAAGATGAAAACCAAGCATGGGAACTAGTGGAAGAAGCCATAAGGAAAGCCCCAGGTGAGACAGATGTGCTTCTCAGTGCAGCCAAGTTTTATTACAAGACACACAACGCAGACAGAGCTATACAGCTGCTTACAAAGGCTTTAGAATACCTGCCGAACAATGCCTATGCACATTACCATATTGGGTGCTGCTACAGGTCAAAAGTGCTTGGAATGGTTCATAGAAGAGAGACTGCATTCAATGGGAATCAAATGAGGTTTCAGAAACTAATACAACTGGCGGTTGACCACTTAAGGAAAGCAGAGGAGATCAAGGAATTTCTTGAACATTCCTGTAGCTACCTTGCTGGACTTTATGCCATGACAAACAAGTATGAAGAAGCCAATTATTACTTCCAGAAAGAATTCAAGAAGGATCTCAGTCCAGGCCTTAAACAGTTGCTCCACCTACAGTATGGCAATTTCCAGTTGTTTCAAATGAAGTGTGAAGACAAGGCCATCCATCATTTTATGGAGGGTGTAAAAATAAGGCAGGAGACGAAGCCTAAAGGAAAGATGATAAACAAACTTCAAAGAATTGCCCTAAGGCGACTTTCTGAAGATGAATTTGATTCTGAGGCCTTGTGCATCTTGGAGTTTCTTAGGGAGTTGAATGAAGAAGGCGAGCAAGCTGCTAAAGAAGCTGAGAGGGGGCTGGATGCTGAGAAGGCTGCTCCTTCAGCATCTTTGCATGAGAATGGGGATGAGTAGGGGTGACAGGGTGCCTGCAGTGCTACTGCTGGCAGGAAACTGAAACCCTTACCAAGTTGCCATTCAATGTAATTAACAACTTCGTGGACAGGAACCCTTCTATCAAATGTTAGCACCTGAATTATTAGGAAGATTAGGAAAATGTCCCTGTCATATGAATACGTCCTTATTCAACAGTGCTATAATGAACCCGCATTAGAGATGCTAGGAAGGACACTGGTGGGAGAATAACTTGGTCACTGAGGCCTGGTGGTAGGAAATGGCATGGGGACTGGAGGGAGAATTCTTTCCTCCATTAGAAATGTTGCAAACCAAGGAATAGAAAAACTTCTTTGAACTCTGAAAAATACTCAGAAAACATCACGAAACTGATGACGGGTGTTTCCTCGGTAGATCTGGAATGGCCTAAACATTAAGGTTGATGTGCTGCAGCAGAGAGGCGATTGGCCCAACGTGAGGCTGACAACTGCCTCTGGGATGAAAATGTTTCTCTATCGGCATTAGTTTGCTTATAAGTATATATGAACATTTTTAAGCAATCAAAATATATTAGATTAATAGGTTCTGAAAACTGGACATTCTAACAGCTGTAACAATGTTCCCTGCTATTTTAACTATTAAAAAGCTTTGTATGCACTTAAGTCCATCAATAGACAGCATTTGAATTTATTTGTTAATAAATAACACATGCTAGAACATTGAGCAGTGTTCTGGCTGAATAAAAATTTTACTATACTCTCACTGTCTTAGACTTAAGTACTACTAATAAAGAGTGGCATTAATTATTTTGCAGCCTGAAGTGTCTGTTCTTTTTATATTTGATGGCTGATATCTGCACAGGGACACACTTGATCTTGACTTTTATCCTTGTTTCCCTTCCTGTTGCAGGGACAAAACACAGGCTAAAACAACTTGAGGGTCTATATAGCTAACAAGTTACAGTCTATTGCTGAGGGAAGCCCAGACAGGAATTCAAGGGACGAACCCCGTTAAAGACCCTGGATAGATTATAGGACATAGCTGGACCACATCATCAGGGAATGGCATTCCTCTCCCTAAGTCTATACGAGGATGTGAGAATTTGTGAATCAGACATAAAACCTGTGATGCTGATATTTCTTAAGAGGGGAATGTGGGAAGGAACCCAGAAATGCCTGCATTCTTCCTCCACTTCTAGAGAGGAGATAGGTCACATGACATTCCTAGGCCTCAGATACTTCTCTGAAGGAAAATAGCAGCATTCTGCCTGTACAACCTTGAACAGGCTGGACTGTGAGTAAGGCTTCTGTGATGAAATGCAAACTCGTGTCTGTTAGCAAAGAAGCTGTAACAGTGATGTGACCCTTGGTCCCTTGGCTTCCCGTTTCACTCCTTCAGCATCAGTCAACAGAGGTGATTTGGTCACTTTCTCACATCTTTTCTCATATATTCACCAAGGTAAGTGATAATCCCCAACAAAGCTGCCCTAAGTGCTAACAAGCAAACCTGTAAAATGCTGGCACTCGACCTGCTGTTCATCTTGCTCCAACCCTACATGTGAACATTGTTTGACCACAAGCCTGCTTATGTATGTCTCCGTTCCCTGCTTGGGTTGTCACTCTGAGTGTCTTGGGTGTGTTTGTGTGAGTGAAGGAGCGAGAAAACGTCTGTCATCTCTAGCTTGCTTTCAAGTAATGACTTCCCATGGTGAAAAGCCCCCTCTCAGCTTCTTCTTCTTGTCTTTTTTCTCTGTCAGGGTCAGAGCCAGTGGACTGAGTCGTGACTGCTTTCATTCCCCCCATCCCACCCCAACTCCCTGACACTTCTCCCTGGCTGTGGCAGACACCTGAGAGAAATCATGAAGGAGGGAGGGTGGATTTTGACTGATGGGCTCAGGTTGCAGCTGTGATTTGTTGGCTGTGTATTTTCTGGGATTGTAGCGGCAGAGGGACATGCTCAAGGGAACACTCATGCCGTGGAGTCCAGGAAGGCAGGAGTGAGGCCAAGGATGGCCTGAGACAAGGTCGCATCCCCAAGTACGTGCGTCCAGTGATCTACTTCATCCACAAGTTTCCACCACTCTGCGGTGAGGCCATCATGTTAGGAAACTCAGTGGTTGGAACTCTTGGGAGCCTCCAGACCCGTCGAAGTGGGAGCCTTTCTGGAACATTCCATGTCCAAACCACATCAGTCCATGCCATTAGACTTATACTATCTTCATCCAGTGAGAGCAGAAACCACAGGAGTGTTTCAGTCTCATTGAGATTTGTTTTAGTTAGCATGGGTACCATCAGTTCGACACTAACCGGGGAATGGGGGTTCCAACTAAAGACTACATAACCTCTGCCCTCCTTTCTCACAACATTACCCCATCACCTATCTCAGAGAAGGGACTTAGACTTAGCAAGTAAGAATTTTTTCTAATGATTTACAGCGTGGCTGCCTCTTTGCTGATAATCTGCACTTTTGTAAAGGGGCAAGGAGGGGGCTACAGAGGAAACCTGACTGAGATTCTCAGGCTAAAGGCAAAGGCAGTGGGTCTAACAGGAGAGCACTTAACCTCTTATGCAATTAGCAGTAGTAAGTTGCTAAGCAAAACAACCAACCAGAATCCCACAGCCATCTAAGTTCATGTCTGCTTCCTCGTATGTAGCAGCAATGTCAGAATTTGAAGTCTGTTACTATTCCCGTATCTGTACTGGCCTGCCCTTGGGGTCCTCACAGGAAACCTCCTCAGCTGTAGCCACTAAGAGCACCTCCTGAGCACATTCACTGTGCTCCCCTTTAAAAGGTGCGCCTTCCCCACTCCCATCCCTTTCTGTCTCTCCTTCTCTCTCTCTCTCTCTCTCTCTCTCTCTCTCTCTCTCTCTCTCTTCTGCTGTTCCTGTCTCCAGAGGCCAGTCATCCCCCTCCCTTCTTTCTCCCATTCCCTTTCCCCCAATAAAAAAAAAAAACTTCTCCTTATGAGCCCTGTTGCATGGTGTCTTACTCTCTCAGCGGCTTTTTAAACTACAACAATAACTATCTCGCGGGACTCTGCTTTCATAAACACCATGTGTCAGCCTAGCTTTACTCTGTGTTGCTTCAGGCTGGGAAACTGGCTGGCTCCCAAAGGTCTCAGGATTCAGTTTCTATTTCCTCTTCTGGCTGATTTTAAGTCAGTTTCACTTTCCAGTTTCCTCTTCTCTTACACAAACACAAACCCCTAGAAACAGGAGAGGTCAGTTGGTGAGTTCCTCCCTCCACCAGCCCTTTATATAGTCCTCTCAGTGTCCCCCTGAGGCCGACTGAGATTTCTTAACCTCTCAGTCCACACCCAGCTTTTCTCCAGCAGCAGAGAAGCAGGTTGTCATCATGAGGTCAGTGCAATTTCTGGTTTTCCACAGTAGATGATGCATGGGACTGCTCTCTGCATGGGAGTTTCTGAAACTGTCTGGTTGCTGATAGATTCAACACACCTGAATTAGCATGGCTTTTGGAGGGCATGTGCAAGACCCTGCCATTTCTAAAGCTGCTCACTGGATGGCACTAATTCCTGAGCTAGGAGAGGGGCTATAAAATGTAGTTAGATTCACTCAAGGGACAAAATATGACTCAGTGCTAGTACTAATGCAATTGCTCTTGCTGAATTTTCCTCTTGATGTTATTGAAAGAGACTGCTCAAGTCCCGGGAAGCTCCGTGTGTGTGTGTGTGTGTGTGTGTGTGTGTGTGTGTGTGTGTGTGTGTATATGTGTGTGTGTGGTCAAAGGAAGCCTTCCTTTTCTAGAAGGTAGTGTAAATCCCGGTCTCTGGCCTCCATCTTTGAAGGCCTGGCTTCTGTGCCCCTTGCATCTAGACCCCTCCCTGAGAGGGTCAAGGTAGGCTGCCTGCCAAATTTTGACCACTCCCCAGAAAAGGTCAAGACCACTCCCCCAGGCTACTTAAACTGCTCCCCCCAAAATAAACACATGGTTTTCCTTTTTTCTCCCTGGCGGTCACGTTATGGCTTTCCAGTTCTCCTCGGGGCCATCCGAGAGCACTGGAGCCCAATTAAACCAGAACATCTTTTAATTTGGTTTGTTTTGATTTGGCTTGATTGGGGTTTTTGTGTCGGCAAAGAGATCGTGTTAGGAAATATTCTTAACAGGTAGTATGAGAGTTGGATTTAGTACTGCAAATTCAACTCAAAATGCTGAAATGTTTGATTACTTCAGGATTGAGGCAGAAGAAATGATTCTTACAGGTAAACAGGGTTTTTAATTTTGGGGTTTTAAAAATTCTTTTTTATACAAAACCAAGCCTCAATATTTAAAGTTTTTTTTTCCTGCTGTGAAATGCTGGTGGGCAGGAGAAAACAATTCTCCCTCAAAAATATAAACTGCTGAATTTCTAGTTACAGGAAGCAGAACAATGGTGCCTAGAGGTGATAGTGATAGAGTATGAAGTCCACACGGGCATTCTATGGGACCTCTGAAGTAACCTATAAGGAGTCTAGGTGGGTACATAGGCATTCACTTTTGTTGAGACTCCGCAAGTGCATTAGACTGTAAGAAAAATCATAGCAAATGTGATTTTCTTAAATGTAACTACACCTGCTGAGATTCTGTCACTGACAGAGCCTCAAAGAGAATTAAGAAAATGGTACCTTTCCTACCAAATAACTATCAGGGAAGGATTGTGGCATCAATGGCCCAGGGAAGGCAGATGCTACTAATTACTCTGAAGGAAAGAAAAAGAGACAGTCATCCCTGGCCTTACCCCCAAGGGTTACAAATATTTAACAAAGTCAGAGTTGGAATTACAGTTCTAATTACTCTGGGTTACTCCTATCTATATAATTGGCCTGGGAGAAGACTGGGGTTAGTGGTGAGTGTGATTGACCAGAAAGCCAAGATCTGCCCAGAACCTTAGTGGCTAGCCTGCACAAGGGGCTTTGCTGTGGTTTGTGCTTGGGTATTTCCAGAGTCACCAATCTAAGCAGGTCTGAGAACTTTAGACTACATTGATCAGAAGTTTACAACATTGAATTCTGTGAGGACAGAGGCAGCTTGAGCTGCTCTTTCTAGCAATGTTTAAAATCACAACATGGGGTAAAGAAAGGACCTAAAAGGCACCTGGTACCTTCTGGGTAGACTTTGCAGGAGGCAAAGTGGTATGAAAAGCTCTTGCTCTATGTACAGCTTTTCTAGCTGTGGTCTTTCAGTGTCTAGAGATTAAATGTGCATTTGTCCAACTTTCTCATAACCTGTCTCACAATGTGTGCATTATGTCTGTGCCTCTGTATTAGTTACTTGGCTTGGTCCACTCTTCAGCAATAGAGATTTACCTCCAACCTTCGTGGGGCAATCAAGAGCGACAGAGTAGCGCTATCATGTTCTGGGATTCTCTTAGACAACTCTAACCAAAAACTCAAAGGGGGTTTCTCATGCCTAGTATTGGGATTTTGTTTGTCTATGGCTCTTGGTGAGGAGAGGGAATATTATTAGCCCAAATGGGAAATTTTTATTTAAACTATGTATGTATATATTGACTTATAAGTTCTATAGGCATTTAGTTAGATAGTTGATAGTATGATCCCTTATGAGTTTTTCAGATGTCCTTCTTATATTTTACCCCGTTTCTCCCCTGTATTCTTTAAGATTCAGTAGAGTCTATATTCAAGGCTTCTTTATCTTGTCTCTCTTAAGCCTATGTAAGTCAGTTCTGCTGTGTTCTGATTTCATACAAACATAGAATATGGGTCTTAATGTCACAAACAAAATACACTCAAAATTCTGTGATATTAGCAGATTTTATTGAATTTTATAGGGTTATAAAATAAAGATAATATCACACAACTCTCAATAATCTAAGCAGTGTCATGTTGCGATTTATGCCAATTTTAGTGTGCCTATTCCAAATAGGTTACTCCTTTACACTTTGCAAGTTTCCTTAGCCGCACACAAATGCCTAGAATTTAGACCTCATACATCTACCACTGCTGCATGATTACATGAAAGCTGAGGGTCAGAAATTGGGGTTCAACCTGAAGATCTGAAAAGCAAAACATCCAGTCGCTGGCTTTTACCTCAACCTCAGTCTGAAATGATGATTTTTGCTTCCTGGAATCTCAGAAGGAGACTGTGCGTTAGTGCTGTGTCGCCCATTCTTATATTCCTCTCTAGGGCTGAGATCAAAGGCGAGGCACACTGGGATTAACGGCATGCACCACCCAATTTCTATGGCAACTAGTGTGGCTACTGGGATTGAAGGTCTGTGTCATTATGGCTACTGAGATCAAAGGTGTGTGCTGCCATAATCTGGTCTGTAAGGCTAATCAGTGGGACTGCTTTACTCTCAGATCTTCAGGCATTCTTTATTTATCAAAATACAATTAAAATCCACTACACACCACAATTGTTTGAAATATAAATTTGATATAGAAGGTTGTGTTGATTATAAATTTGAGCTCATTGACCAGCAGGTTATAGCTATCATGGGGCCTGTAGGAACAGAACTATGGACTGGATTGTCACTATAGGAGAATCCCAAATTCCTCCCTTTTTAATGCTCATCCTTGTTCATTTAATTTGCTCTCCCATATTGCTGAATGTCCAAGATTCCTCAAGCATGAAAAATAAGCCTTCTTTGGTGAAATGTCCTTTGATCAGGGTACTCGAAAGCTGAGGATGTAGGTCATGGACTCCAAAAGCACACTCATAGCGAAAGTGGTTCTTGTTGGTCCAGCAGCTCACAGGTGTCTAGAAGAGCAGGAATCAACCATGGTCAGGGAGTGCAGCCAAGTGGGATAGGAAGATGGAAGCGCCTATCACAGACATGGCTCCAAGAAGAAAACAAACCCTACCAACTAAATAAACAAAACCAAACAAAAACAGGCCTGCAGAAAGGCAGAATACAGAGAAGAAATCATCTTAACTTGCTTCATCTGGTTCTGAGTATTTAAGGCAACAGCTACACACACACACACACACACACACACACACACAAAGGAGAATAATGAGCTGGGAGAATGCTTAATAAGTTACTTGGTGAGCTGTGCTTCAAAACTCAGGATTCAATGTTTCCGTGAGTCTCAGGGCCTTCTCGTAGTATTCCAGAGCCTCGCTTGTGTCCCCTCTGAGTCTGTAGACAAACCCAAGAAGGCCGAAGCCTTCCACAACATGAAAATTCCGGCGAATGCGTCTTTCAGCCAGGTTCTTCAAAGCATTGAGAAGCTTGTCTTTGGCGTAGGAAGAAGTTACTTCTATTTTCAAACCCTTTATGTAATGGGTGATTGCTGTTTCTTCTGATCTCATATTGTAAAGTTGGAAACGACCATAGCGCAAATGGATGTCCTGCTGTATGGAACCATCAAGGCCCCTCAGGCTCAATGCTTTCTGAAAATTCTCCTCTGCCTCTTCTAATTGGCCAGTTTCTATGTACAGTTCAGCCAGATGAACGTAAGCTACCTCATATGTGGGTTTCAGTTCTAAAGTCTTTTTAAAGTGAGCCATAGCCAAACAGATCAATTGGTTTGCTATTCTTCTATCCTGACCTCTAGGGTGCATGTTTGTAGCTTCCTTTATTTGGATCAGTTGTCTCTTGTAGCAACGTCCAGTCTCGTAATGCAAGAAGGCTGAGAAAGGTTTTGCCTGCAAGGCTAAATAAAGGAAGTGAAGAGCTTTCTCCACATTACCTTTCCATCGGTAAAATTTGGCCAAATATCCCAAGACATAGGTCTTGGAAGATATGTTGGCCTGAGCTTCTTCAGCGTATCTTATTGCTTCATCTGATTCTCCCAAGCTGTGCAGCTTTAGGGCAAGGAGAACTTTAATGTATGGATCCGCTGGATTTAACCTGACAGCCTTCCTCAGGGGTTCCAGAGAAATACTACTGTCATTGAAATCCTGGCGATAGGCAGCAACGGCATATCCAATGCTGTATTCGGGGTTGTCAGAATCAGCTTCCAGAGCTTTTGCAAAGCAGGCCATGGCTTGTCTATAATTCTGTTTTCCACACTTCAGCAAGGTCCAGCCTTCCTCACAGTGCATCTCGGCACACTCCATCCTGTAGCGGAAGGGACTTGCAAATTCCTTGCAAGTATTCTCCACCTTGTCCAGGTAGCTCTGGGCTTCTGCCAAGCTGTCCATGTGGTAATGCACCCAGGCACAGTTGCCCCAGGTCACCACGCTTCTCTTGCCCAGTGGCTCTTCCTGGATCATGTCTTCTGCTTCTTTCAGGCTCTGTAGGGCTTCCTCATGCTGGCCTTTCAGGTGTCTCACGTAGGCCAGGAGGTTGAGCATCCTCGTGCTGTGGTTGGGGTCAGGTAACTCTTGATCAACGATTCTTTTTTCCAAATCAGGCATGTCCGCATCTTCTATTACCAACTTCCAAGTAAAGTGACAGCTCAGCTCAAGCAGGCTGTTGTGGATGAGAGTTCTATGAGGTTCCTCACTGTAAAAACAGAGCCCAGTTACTAATTTTTTTTATACACTCTGTCTACTGGAAATCAAGCCAGCTCTGTAAGTTGTCAAACACCTTCTCTCCCGACATTCCTGCTGCCAGTTTTTATTCTTATTGTGTGTTTATTTCTCTTATCATAGGAAGTAATTTTACATTACAATTTGAAAAAATACAGCTCACTTAATGGTACTAGTGTTTGATTACAAAATGTCTAAAGTTCAATCCAAATAATAATATCATTACTATCAGTAAGTAGGCTTTAACTCCTGTGTTGGATAGTTTTATGCCATCTTGACTCCAAAACTAGAGTCATTAATGAAGTGGGGTTCTCGATTGAGAAAATGCTCCCATTAAGATTGGCCAGTAGGCTAGCCCATGAGGCATCTTCTTAGTAGTTGATTGATGTGGGAAGGACCAGCCTGTTCTGGGTGGTGCCATCTCTGGGCAGATTGTTCCGGGTTGTATAAGCAATCAACTGAGCAAGCCATGAGGAGCAAGCCTGTAAGCAGCATTCCTCCATGGCTTCTGCTTCAGTTCCTGCCTACAAGTTCCTTTCTTGATTTCCCCCTCTGGCTTCCCCTCATGATGAATTAATTACATCTGTAAATGAAATAAACTCTTTCCCCACCAAGCTGACTTTTTGCCATAGTCTTTATCACAGCAGTTGAAACCCTAACTGAGATAGCTATGATACCTAAGGCTCAGAGAATGTAAAGAAAGGGTGATCTGAACTTCCAGTTTTGACAAGGATGCTCTTTACTCATACAATCTCAACAATGCGCTTGCATAAACATGACTTGCGTAATTAATGCATCAGTTGACATGACTTTAGAGTTGGGAAATGTTTCACAAGACCCCAGTCCTAGATAAAGAAGTACAGGTACTCAGTGACTGCTGAGGGAGAAAGAGACCATTTTCTTCAGAAACAAGCCTTTTGATAGGCTATCCAATTCCAAGTGATCACCGGTATTAAATTCACTCAGGAGAGAAAGAGAGAGAGAGAGAGAGAGAGAGAGAGAGAGAGATGTTTATTGAATTTACCCTACACAAGAGAATTATATTTATACCAGATGCCATAAATTGTCAAGTAAAAAGCTATGTGCCAGGAGGGTGACACCATTCTTCATGCTGTTGGTCCAAGGTGTTTTAGAGACCCCCAAGATAATACAGGGCATTGTCAGTATTTTTGATTATCCACCATTACTTGGCGATAGGACCCTATTGCTGAGGACACCCCACACATCGGCACAGGACCTGGGGAAACCAAGTCAGTACTGCCGAGGTGGTTTCTCCCTTGCTGACGAGTTCTCACAGTCCTGGAAGGCACTGTTCAGGCTACTGGAGGTGGAGGAGTTACCAACAGTCTTACGCAGTTATGAGCCCTGTGAACTGCAAGAATGACCAGTGTGGCAAGATATGGTCACCGACACCAGGGTGGCATGAATGCTATGGAACAAAGAGTCACTTTCTGATTGGATCTGAGGTCCAGTTCACAGGAGGAAACACATGCCAGGTACTGCATGTCTGGCCAAGAATCCATGGTTTACAGGCCCCAGGGATGGCCTTACTACTATTATTTTGCCAAATGGACATAATATCAAACTTCCCTCTAATAATTTATTTTATATTACGCTTTAGATAGCTTTGCCTGGATGTATATATGTACCACATGCTTGCCTGGTGTCTAAGGAGGGATGAAGAAGAGATTAAATCCTTTGGAACAAGAACTACAAATAGTTGTTAGCTTCCATACGGGTGAGACAAGTGCCCTCTAAATTGATGTCTCTCTACCCATAGATTTGTGCAACTCTCAGGCCTCATCAAAGTACTGTCCTTCTTCCAGTGAACAGTTATTGCTATAGAAATTCACAACTAATCAAAGTGTTATAAGTATTATTGGAGTGTTCAGCCATAACTACAAGATCTATATCACAGCCCCTCCACTAAGACTCAGGAATATCTCATAAGAGGGGATTAAAAGATAAGAGCCAACAGTTGTGATGGATTGGTGCTAATCACTGTCTGAATATGGCAGGACCACTGCTCTCAAGAACTCAGCTATGGGCACCCAAACAATATCTGCACTATATCAAGACAGTCATCATTCTAACCTGGAGTAGGAGTCCGGTTTATGAATCAGAGTGTGGGGGTCTGGTGCCAGCCCGGACCATACGTTATTTCTCCGGACCAGGGGGGAGGCGTGGGATTAAAGACACAATTCACATGGTTTTCTTGAGAGGGAGTTTTTCAGTGTTCCCTCATGAAATCCTGAGTTCACATCCTGAAAATTCCTCTGCATTTATTCTCCAAACAGCCTTATATACCAAAACATAAACTGAGGGGGAAATTTATTAGCATTCTGTTTCCTAGGTAACCAGGTGAATTTACCTATGCCTGTTCTGTCACATCTTTCTGCTCTATATGCCAGCTAACATCTCTTTTCAGGAATCCTCCAAATTATAAAGAAGGCGCAGAACGACATCCTGACAGCCTGTTAGGGATGGCGACAGGCTAGGTGACCACCTCCTGTGCAGCAGGTGTAAACTGTGCCCTGAGATTCTGGTCACCATACCACGAAGAAATATGGGCCTACCTCGGAGCATCCCAGACTGAAGGTTCCCGAATTTCCAAGCCTTGAGTCTAGTGTCTCAGTTGTAGCACTGGATGCCTCAGACATACAGATGGCCGAGCCTACTCCGGAGTTTCTGAGTGACCAGTTCTGGAGTGGTGGAATCTCGGAACTTGTGTTTCCAATAAGTACCCAGTTGACAGTGACACTGGCAGACACATAAGCTTAATCTCAGCATAGCAAATGTAGTGAAAATATATTTTAGAGTAATGTCACTTTCATATTTTACTGTAATTATCAAATGCTGGAAGTAGAGAGATGGCTCGGTAATTAATAACACTTACTGTTCTCGTTGAGGACCTGGTTCAGTTCCCAGCACCTACATCAGATGACCTGTTACTCAGTTCTAGGGACTCTGATGCCCTCTGGCCTCTATGGACACCTGCAGGCAGGTGATACACACAAACTCATGCAGGCAAACACACATACATATACATTAAATATATATGCATATATATTTACATTAAATTAAAATTGGCTTCTCCTTTCCACTAGGATTCAATGTAATTATCAAACTACAACCTGCTTCCTCTCCTTCCCCCAAGGCTCTGCAGTCATTATCCTCATCTGTCTGCTTGCCAGTCTTCACGCAGGCTCAGGCCTGTCCTTTCATGGGCAGTCTGTAAGTGTCCCCTTGGGAAACTGCCACTGAAATAAAAAAAAAGAAAATCCTACAGAGTGGCATCTCCTTTGAAATAGAACGTCTTTCTTATTTCCTCGAGAGCAATGTTGTCTTTTCCAAGCAGACTGCTATAGGCGGGAAACTCACCTCACCTTTCTGGACCACTGCCCTCTATTCTTTATCTCCCACGTGGACCTCTTAATCTAGATCTCTTGGACGTTTTCACTTTCTTGTGGCTTCAGTGGCTTGGTTGCACCACTTAGAAACTAGGGTGCCGGGAAAGGATAAGGGCTTGTTCCCTCCTTGTGAGCTCCCAGCAAGCTGGCCTTTAAATTGGTGGTGGTTGAGTTCTTCACCAAGGCTCTCAAGAAGCCCGTCCTGAGAGCTATCGCTAAGGACCATTACAGATCTACTGCTTCTCCCTCCAGGTGCCCCCAGAGGCCTGTGGTTATCACACTATCATTGCTGTTCCCTCCTACCCATACCTTCCCCAGTGGCCAGACTGAGACCTCTCAGCGTCAGGACCATGATCAGGACGGCTCTGTTAGGAAGAAGCATACTAGGAACCAGTCATCAGAGGCTCTATGTTTTAGAATGTCAATATGTACAGAAATAGGTTGAGCAGAGCACAGGAAGTCTTTACCTCATGCTGCTTGGAGACGGCTCTGTAGTACTTGGATTCAGGCCAAGAGTCTCTTCCAAATTCGACGAGGTTCTAAGGGTTCTCAGATCAGCAAGGTATTTATATATAGAAGGATTACTAGGCAGTTTTTCACACACCCCATGACCTAAACGAAACTGGCAAGGTTACAGCTTACGGAAAAGGAAACGTAAAGAGGGCTGTTTCTCCATTGATAAAAAAAAGACATGCTTACTTGAGGAAGCCAAGATTTTTGTTAGAAGCCATGTTTGTGTTGGGTTCCATGTAGACTTTATGTCAGGATGTTTTACATCCGGTGTTGGAGCAAAAAGAATAGAGGCAAGGATGAATTTTTTTCGTGTAACACATCAGACTATTTCGTTACTACTACATACACCCAAGGGGGCATTTTAGGGTGCATGTTTTGTGCATAACAGTAAGCTGGAGAAAGCATTTGTGGCAGAATGAGATTACAGATGGTTGATTTATCTGTATTTTCTTTTCTTTCTTTCTATTTTTGAGATATTATCCTGAAAACAACAAAGTCCATGCCATTTATATCCTCCTGTGAAATTCCTACCCCGTCCACTTAGAATACAATGACCTTATCAGTGGCCTAAACAACCTATTTGAATTGGCCAGCGGAGCAGGAGATCAGTAAGTAGCAAGGAGTAAAATCAGCAGGCTGTGATGGGCAACTGGAGTCTAGAGTATCCAGGGAAGTGAGGATGTTAGTATCTAGTTCCAGATCCACACAGCTCTTTTGAGTTAGCCTCATAGTTTTTAAGCTGTTTTACTGGGTCCTGGGAGAGTCAATGCTACATTTTAAGTTTTAATTACTATGCCTTAGAGATCCATGAACCAAAAATGCCTCTGATCTCCAAGCCTCTTGTTCAGGGACACATAGCTCCTGAAGTGCTGGAGGCTCTTGCTTGTGGGAGATAACCAGCCACGTGTTTTCAATCTCCTAAACAAGTTCCTGTAACCCATCTGCACCAGATATGCTTGATCATGTGTGGGTGGAAGCTTCACAGGCAGGAAATATGTCAGGATACTTGCTTGCCCCTGATGGGATGCAGGCTGAAGGTAGATCAGGATACAAGCTTGTACTGATGGGATGCAGGCTGGAGGTACATGAGAATACACGCTTGCCCCTGACGGGATGCAAGCTGGAGGTACATCAGTATACATGCTTGTCCCTGACGGGATGCAGGCTGGAGGTAAATCAGTGTACACACTTGCCACTGATCGAACCTGATGGGTATTGCAAAGAATTATGGGTTTTCCTTCTTAAAGAGATGCAAACATGACTCGGTGCCATTTCCCCGAAATCTGGGTATGTACCTGGCCAGAGCCCATCCACTTGGCCAGTATTTAATTAAGGCTTACTTCAAATTTGGCTTTAAACTGTGGTTGTGGTCTTTTTCTCCATCAGTGGAATTAACAGTCCCCTGCTATGACATCCCCAAAACCTGCACATAGTGTCCCTCAAACGCAATATCAAAATTTTCTGAGACTAAGGCTGGTATATCCATCCAACTAGCAGGGGAAGAGAAATGTTGAAAAGCAGTGGTTCTGAATCTCCCTTGTGAGGTGTTCCTTATCTGGCTTTTGGAGGCAGCAGCGTAGTCAGATAAGCAAAGGGGTAAGCAAGGACCGAGAGCAGTTTCCAGCTGTGCGTTACAAGATAAGGTTATTGACATCTCTCTAGTCCACAGTAAACTGCTGTGCATAGACCGCACAGACGCTGAGTTGCCCTGAGCCTTCAACTAGACTGTGTTCTCCAGACTCCCTACTGGTGAATAAGGTATGGTCATGTACCCGAGTTTGGATCCGCCGGAGACATCTTTTCCTGAGGACTTTCTTTCTTCCCCAGCTCTCACATAAGGTGGGATGTGAATGTGTTTTGCTCTCCCTTTCCTGAATGCACACCTGATTGTACTGAGAAGAGACCAAGGGCTGACTGGAGACACTGTACCCAGGGGCGTTACTGAACTTTGCTGCTAACTGAATATGGCATCTTGGCTTCTTTGGTTGACATTCCCATGCCAGAGTTACTCACTTGTTAATCCAAATAATAACAGGACTTTCCTTCTGGGGCTATGGGGAGATCAAGTGGGGAACAGTGCCAGTTGATTAAGACCTTTCAGGAATTGTGAGCATTGTTTTTAACGTAGGACCAGCCTCCCCTTCAGTCCAATCTTTACTAAGCATCAGCTAGAAACCTTCCTCATGGCAATTGCCCATCAGACACTGAGAGAATTGCCTCAGGTAGCATCCCTGTGCAGATGCTAAACTTCAGTTCTGAGCTTTAAACTGAGGCAGTGTAGATTGTTTCACTTTCTGGCTCAGGTTTAAAAGCCCTGGAGACAGTTGAACACAGAATTTATAATGCCTCCATAGCACGGGTACTCGGCTGATCCCAGTAGTGGCAGAGCCGGAGTGACAAGAAACTTCTGAAAGGGGGGCTACTTTCTTCTTCTAGCTCTTTATTTAAAAGGATTCATCTAAAAAGATAAATGGGCTTTGAGGTGCAAATATTTTCTTCAAGGTAGCCTTAGCCCAGCTTGAGAAATAAGAGATAGAAACACGAGCAAAGACTAACGTGAACACTAGGAAGGTGGCTGACACGGAGATCAGAATGACTACAAAATTTTTGTGCACAAAATGATTGCTTAGTAACTTCCAGGGAAACAGAACAAGTGCATCATTTGGTTAGCATGAATTTGGCAATGGTCCAGGTCCTGTGAGACTCTGGGTCAGCAGATTAGGTCTTCAGAATCTTGGCCAGTGTGTCTTTGGAGTAAACAGAATCACAAAGCAGACCGTGGGGAGATAAATATTTGGAAGAAAAAACCTACAGAGCATATGATGAATACATGCGTGTGTGGTGCAAACAGATGTGCATTTGTGTTTGCTCTTAGGAAGAAAAAAACAAAAAACAACAAACACTAGAGAGAGGCTTACTTTTGAAGATTGGGAACTTTGATTGCAGCTTTGCCTTTCTCCCTGCCGTTCTATCCATCCATCCACATATCCTGACGAGTCTCTTTTTAAAGGAAAGCTCTGTGCGCTTGTGCATTTTTAGGGAGTTTTATTTAGTGGAGAATATGTCCGAAAGTAACAGATGGCAGCTAAGAGCATAGGTCTTCTACTCGGGGAACCCTTCACAAAATTTCTTGGAAAACCTCCTATTCGCCACAACAGGCCTGCCTCCTTCAACTGTTTCTTCTTTTTTCAACTATAAAAAACATAACTTTATTTTAATGAATTCACAAATAAGACCACTATACAGCTGGAGTAAAGAAGCCACTCAGACGCTTGTCCAGTCTCGGCCTCTGCCTCCCAGGGAACATCTATGCAGTTAGGATGGCCATTCTGAGGCCAGGAAGCTTCACTTCGGGTTTTACACTTTCGCTGTCAGTTATGCTGTTATACATTTATCTACCACAAAAAAAAGAAAGGAAGCAAAAGCTTTGAAAGAGTGAAAATGAAAACCAATAAGCTTTGTAATCTCTTTCATGACTCGTGCCCTTCTGCCTGCATTCTGTCCTTCCTCACCACCCATTATGCTTCCTTAGTCTCTTTACAGCTGCTTACACACAAACACACACACCAGGTTGTATCTGAATATGAAAAAAATAATCTTTAACAGCTTTTTTATTTTTATATTATTGATATTATGCTATAAATACACCATTTCTCCCTTCCAGTTCCTTCCTCCAAATCTTCCCATATACCCCTCCTTGCTCTTTGTCAAATACATGGCCTCTTTATTCAATAATCATTGTTACTTAAGTGTGTGTGTATACACACACACACTTTCTAAGTCCATTTATTTTTTTCTACAAAATTCATGATTTCATTTTTTTGCAGCTCTACAATATTCTGTTTTGTATAGGTACTGCATTTTCATTACCCATTCATCTGCTCATGGACATCTAGGTTGTTTCCATTGCCTTGCTCTTGTAAATACAGAAGCAATAAACATGAATGTGCAAATATCTCTAAGGTAGGATACGGAGTCCTCTGGGTATACTCCCATGGCTATCAGGTAGGATATGGAGTTCTCTTGGTACACTCCCATGGCTATCAGGTAGGATATGGAGTTCTCTGGGTATATTCCCATGGCTATCAGGTAGGATATGGAGTTCT